AACACCCAAATCCAAGATGTGTTGAATTATATTTCCCTTTTAGATTCTAGACGAAAGGAAAACCTCAAGGTGAGAACAAATTTTGTTTTTTTTTTCACTGACCTGAGCAGTAAAGTGTAATTTTTCTCCTCATTAAGGAAGCCTAAACTGCTGTCCCAGATTCCTGTGGGCCTGCAATTCCCACTCAGAATGGATTCTTGGGTTGGGCCAGGCAGGTGGAGCCTGGGTTTTCAGCAGAGGGTGGTCCCTATCTGCTGTCCCCTGGAGAGTTCCGCCCTGACCCTATTCCTTGTAACGTGAAGGGCACAGCCTCCCACTGCTGCTTCTGTTCTACCCTTCAAGGAGGAGAGGCTGGAAACGAGGCCACCTCTCCACAGCCTCCTTCTCTGCTTCACTGCCTCGCACAGCCCGATCTGAGCCCCGAGGAATCCAGGTGCCCACACCCACATGCTGCCACCTCTGCCTTACCTTCCTCCCACTCTCTCTCTGCAGGCCCCACATGGTCTGTTCTCAGACCTGGCACTTAGAGACAGAGAGACAGACACAGATAAAAGACAGAATCTGAACTCTATAGAGCCCATCTTTCTCCTTTCTGCCCCCTTCTCCCATCTCTCCAAATTCTCAAGCCACAACCGCTGCAAGGAACCTACTCCTGAAAGGCTCTCTTCTCAACTGGCCACAAGCTGATGTCCGTGCTTTGTCCCTCCCTCTGGAAGACCGCCACCCTGTTGATGACTTCTATCCCCTCAGCCCAGTGGGCTGTCTCCCATCCTGCAAGATCAGGGTTCAGGCTCCCCGGCACTTACTCTGCAGAGGCTTCCCTGAACCTCTAGGCAGAAGGCTTGTACCCCAGAGCATCTTGTTATACCTTTGAATAGTTTTGGCATGTACAGCATAGTTCCGGGCTCTCTGTATTTTCTGTGTGGCTGCAAGCAAGGGACAGTACTGTATTTTTAGGAATACCAAGAGCAGCTGGGCAGAGGGAGGACAGGGGACTGAGCCTATAATCCTAGCACTCTGGGAGACTGAGGCTGATGGATTGCTTGAGCTGAGGAGTTCAAGACCAGCCTGAACAAGAGCGAAACCCCATTTCCAGAAATAGCTGGGCATTGTGGTAGGCGCCTATAGTCCCAGTCACTTGGGAGGCTGAGGCAAGAGGATTGCTCAAGCCCAAGAATTTGAGGTTGCTGTGAATGAAGATGACAGAGCATGCTACCGAAGGTAACAAAGTGAGACTCTGTCTCAAAAGAAAAAGAAAAAGAAAGAAAACCAGGTCCAGTGGCTGCCATGTGTTAGATTCATGGAAAATGGACAAATAAGGGAACAAACAAGCAAATTATGAATGCATAAGTTAATGTGTATAAAATGGAACCTTATGGGTGGCACCTGTGGCTCAGTGGGTAAGGCACAGCCACCATATACCAAGGGTGGCAGGTTCAAACCCAACCTGGCCAAACTGCAACAAAAAAAATAGCTGAGCGTTATGGCGGGCACTTGTAGTCCCAGCTACTCCAGAGGCTGAAGCAAGAGAATAGCCTAAGCCCAAGGAGTTGGAGGTTGCTGTGAGCTGTGATGCGACAGCACTCTATCAAGGGTTAATAAGTGAGACTCTGTCTCAAAAAAAAAAAAAAACAAAAAAACGTAACCTTATAAAAGATGTTACCTCTTCCAGAGTACTATTTTTTTTTTTGAGACAGAGTCTCACTCTGCCACCCTGGATAGGTTACTGTTATAGCTCACAGTAACCTCAAATGATCCTCCTGCCTCAGCCTCCCCAGTAGCTGGGATTATAGGTGCAGGCCACAGTGCCCAGCTAGGTTTTCTATTTTTAGTAGAGACAGGGTCTCACTCTTGCTCAGGCTGGTCTCGAACTCCTGAGCTTAAGCAATCCACCTGATTCAGCCTCCCAAAGTGCCAGGATTATAAGCGTGAGCCACCTTGCCCAGCTTCCTACAGCATCTTTAACAGTGAATTCTTTATCATCAAAAAGACCCCAAGGAAGAAATAGTAACTTGAGGCATTGAACAGAAGGTGGTGAGAATGTTCACAGGCAGGGGGACCTTTCCAGCCTTCCCTGAGAGCACACCACCTGGGGGGCCGGCCACAGGGATGAGCACACCACCGGGGGGCTGGCCACACAGACAAGCTCCCTGAAGAGGATGGACTACGAGTGTTTGGAAGGAGCAGGGAGAGCTGTGGAGGGAGCACACTGTGGAAGAGTGACACTGTGGAACCCTCAACTTTGGATCTGTGCATGGGAAGCCTGCAGCTGTCCAGCCCTGTTAGGCTTGGTGATCTATTTTGCATGTAATAGATCTGGACATGTGTGCCTTCTCCTTCCAGCATGATTCTGAACTTCAGTCTCATTAGTGGGCAAGGCCCACCCAGCAACGTTGACTGAGACCTTCTCTGGCCCTTTTAGGTCCTCTGGAATGAATGTGAAGAGTCGTCTACGGGCTCTTAGTCAATTCAGGGGGTCCTTCTCTGGCTCATGAAGTTTAAGATCCTTTTCTTCTTTCCTCTCTCTCCCTTGCCTTGGCAGATTCACCTGGCTCATCACTAATCTTGCTTGGGTGTCACTGAAGCAGGGTGAACAGAAGAAACACAGGGAAGCCAATGATCACAGACAATGTTTTTGTTTGTTTGTTTGTTTTGAGATAGAGTCTCACTCCATCACCCAGGCTAGGTGTGCTGACATCACAGCTCACAGCAACCTCATATTCTTGGGCTCAAATGATCCTCTTGCCTCAGCCTCCCAAGTAGTTGAGACTACAGGTGTCCACCACAATGCCTGGCTATTTTTTCAGAGACAGAATCTCACTCTTGTTCTGGTTGGTTTTGAAATCCTGAGCGTACCACCTTGGCTTCCCAGAGTGCTAGGATTGCAGGCATCAGCCACTGTGCCCAGCTAGAATGTTTTGATGGGATTTTAAAAATAGAATTTCTAGGCTCAATGTGTGTATTTCAGCACATTGGCTCTTCATGACAACACCATGAGGCAGATACTGTCAGCGTCCATTTTGCAGATAAGGATCAGAGAGGTTAGGAAATTATCCTGGTATTACACACCAGTTAGTTTTGGAACCAAAAGTGGAAGCCAAATCTCCTGCCTCCCAAATCATTGTTTGTGCCACAGCCTTATACTTTGTGACCGAGAGCTCTGTTAAAAGTGGCTTCCCCACACCATAGCCACCACCAGGGCTCTGCACCGGCCTCGGTCTTCCAGGGTCTTCCACCCCCTGCAGGTCATGCTGGGGTGTGGCTTCCAGTGTGCTTCCCTTCAAAGATGGTTGCCAGATCCTGATTCCACTGTGGAAAGGCTTGAGATTTGTTTCATATGTACAGTGACCAACCATTCCGGTTTGCCCAGGACTGAAGGGTTTTTTAGAGCACAAAATATAGGATTTTCAGTGCCAAAGCCAGGAAAGTCCCAAGAAAACTATTTGGTTGATCACTATAGTCGAGTCTCTTAATACAGAAGTATGGCTCTCAGAGCCAGGTGTGGTGACTCATGCCTGTAATCTCAGTGCCCTGGGAGACTGAGACAGGTGGATTGCTTGAGCTCAGGCGTTTGAGACCAGCCTGAGAAAGAGTAAGACCTTATCTCTACTAAAAATAGAAAAACGGGGTGGCGCTTAGGAGTAGGGCACTGGCCCCATATACCAGAGGTGGCAGGTTCAAACCCAGCCCTGGCCAAACCCCCTTACCCCCCAAAAACTGTAGAAATAGAAAAATTAGCCAGGGATTATGTGGGCACCTGTGTCCCAGCTACTAGAGAAGCTGAAGCAGGAGGATTGCTTGAGCCCAAGAGTTTGAGGTTGCTGTGAGCTATGATGATACCACAGCACTCTACCCAGAGTGACAGAGTGAGACTGTCTCAAAAAAAAAAAAAGAAAAAAAAAGAAAGTATGACTTTCAGACTAGCAGCGGCGGTTTCACCAGGGAGCTTGTTGAAAATTCAGAGTCTCAGGCCTCAGCCCAGAACCTGTGAACCAGAATCCACTTTTTAGCAAGATATCCAAGGAAGGGAAAAAGCATCTGAGAAGCTCTAGAGCAGGATTTAAAGGGGCATTTGACTGGAGTTAGGGAAATGGAGGATTCACATCTGAATTATCTGACCTGGGAGGAGTACCTTCTTGAGTTTTATAAACTTACAGTTTTACATTTTATGGCCTTGCTGTAACCTCTGGTGACATGCAGTGATGCAACAGACTCAGGTTTATAAACCGAGGAAGAAGAGGGTTAAGGGTCCCAACTGGAGTCAAAGGCTGCAGGGTGCCTTGGTCCTGTGTGGCATGAAGCGAGTCTGTCCTTGAAACAATGATGTTCTGGCTTGGCGCCTGTGGCTCAAGTGGCTATGGCGCCAACCACATACACCTAAGGTGGCAGGTTGGAATCCAGCCTGGGCCCGTCAAACAACAATGACAGCTGCAACCAAAAAATAACTGAGCGTTGTGGTGAGTGCCTGTGGTCCCAGCTACTTGGGAGGCTGAGGCCAGAGACTCACTTGAGCCCAGGAGTTGGAGGTTGCTGTGTGCTGTGATGCCACAGCACTCTACCCAGGGGGACAGCTTGAGGCTCTGTCTCAAAAAGAAAAAAAAAGAAAGAAACAATGATGTTCTTATAAAGCCTTTGAAGGGTCCTGGATTCACTGGCCTACACCTTTTTTACTGAGAACAGTCTGGAGTGTCACAGCTGACAGCAAATGAACCAGAGGGTGCTTGAGGAGGGAGCCTGTGGTCTTGGGGCTGCAGACTCAGAGACAGGAAATAAAATCACAGAAGGTAAACAATAGGAGCCACGCTTGGCAAGTAGTAGCCTCTTCCGAGCTATTCATTAAGAAGCAATGAGGCCCGCAGAGAGGCATTCCAGATTTACATGTTTTCCTACGTGATACCTGGCTCTGTGTCACAAGACCCAGCTTTGCAGACAAGTTATCAGCAGTTACCCAACCCAGTTGTCCCCATAGTGATCACTGTGCCACGGCGGAAATGGAAGCGATGGCGTCGGAGCTGCAGGTGAGGAGGTGGTTATCAGAGTCAACCATTTCTCCCGGCCTTGGCTTACCTCAAAGTAAAGCTGGGTCAAAGTAGTTGTTCCAGCCTTTTAAATGGGCACTGTGTGATCTTTTGTTAATCTTTTGGCTTGAAAAACTGACCATCAGATGTTAAAATAACAGCATCCCAGCAAGGTAGGAAAAGACATTTGTATTTCTGGAATGGCAGCGCAGCCTGGGACTAAAAGAAGCATAACCCACATTTGTTGATTTTTCTCTCTATTCCAAGTCACATGCCCAGTAGGGAGCCCAAAATAAGGGCAGCCCAGGGGAGGGAGTGACAGGCAGGCCTGGAGATGAATGAGTGCATCCATTCCGTTAGAGCCGTTTCTGCTGTGATCTTAATCTCACCCTGACACCAAGAAATCAAACTGTCACTTTTCTCCTAATAGGGTGAAATGTTTCTGACCTAGGTTTGGTTTCAGAACAATTTCTTCTTTGTGTGTTATTTTCCCTGGGATCTTAAAAGGCTTGCTTGGGGGTGGGTCTTATAAGACACAGATTTCAGTTATGGAGCAAGCCACTTGCTCGGTGCTGTGGGTGGAGACGGAGCTGTACATGACCCAAGAGCCTGCTCATGGCTGTGTGGTCAGGGATCAGACACAGAGGGAGCAGGAAATGGGCAACAGGGTCAGACGGGATGGAATTAATTGCCAAGATGTTTGGTACAAACAACAAGTAAAGATAGTAAAATGGAAAATCCTACTTCAGCAGCTAACAGTAGAGCGAGAACTCGGTGCCACACCGTGAGCACGGTCACTTGAGGGCACCGCCTCAGGGGCCAAGGAAGAGAAGGGAAAAGGACAAACAGGCGGAGTGGAGATAGTTGTGAAATTGTTGTTCAGTTGCCCTCTGGACATAGCACATGTTCGTAGTTGATGGGCCAATCTGGGGATCTATCTCAGGTGGCACTGAGAAGTGGTGTAGGCAACTTACTTTCCAGGTCTTGAGAGGAAGGGAGAACGTGTAGGTCTCTTCCCACCCGCAGAGGGGGCTCTCTGAGGGTTTTCCTTTGTGGGAATCTGCAAACCAGACTCAATGGCTCATTGTTCTTTGCACTGTAGGCAGTGTGAGCAGAGAGTAGAGCCAGAGCATCCTCCCTATGCCCCCCTCACCTGTCCCCTCCTGCTGCTGCCTGGCCCTGCCCCCAGCACGCTCCCTCAGCTGAGAACACAGCCCACCCCTGTGCGCAGCCTCCAGGTCCCTAGGATGCCTGGCCCTGCCTAAGCCTCTGCCCTTGAAGATGCCAAAGTAGTGTCTGTCTCAGGGTCTTTGCACTTGTTTCTCCCTCACTCCGGAATGCTCTCTACCCAAGTCATTGCCAGGCTGGCTCCTTGCCTTTCAGACTTCAGTGCAAATACTGCTTCAGAGAAAGCTCTTCTGAAACGCTCCCCTCCTCCGCCCCTGTCTAACCAGAACTTCTGACTAGTCACTACCTTCTTGCCTTGTTACATTTCCTAACACTTAACAAGGCTCTCCCTTTCACCCTTGTGCATTCTTAGTCCATTCACACTGCTTTAACGAACTGCCATAGACTGGGTGGCTTCTAAACACAGTTCTGGGGGCTGGAAAGTCCAAGGTCAAGGAGCCAGCAGATCTGGCATCTGCTTAGGACTTGCCTCCTGGTTCATGAACAGCCTCAGGGTAGAAAGGGCAAGGGAACCCTCTGAGGCCTTTTTATAGGGCTCTGCCCTCATGACTTAACCACCCCTCAAAGCCCCACCTTCAAGTACTATCGAATAGGATGTCAACATATGAACTTTGTGGGGACATGATGTTCAGTCTACGGCAATGTACTTCGCTATTGCCTGTCTCCCCAGTAGGCTGGACTTTGTCTATATCATGCAATTCTGTATCCTCTGTGCCTAGAGCAGAGCCTGACTAAGAGATGCTTAGTAAATATATGCTGAATAAACTCTTATGTTCTTTTCTGTATGGCATCCATGCAATAGAGAAGTTTTAGAAATGAAGTAAGTCATTCCATGAGTGCTTATGTGCAGAGCCCTTAATGTGCATTATTTCATTTCATCCTCCTGACAACACTAGCAAATAAGTGCTATCAGGATCCCATTTGGCAGATAAGACACCAAATGGTACAGACTTGATGAAGGTTGCATGGCTAGTAAGCAGTGAGTCTGGATCGGAACCCAGGCAGTCTGACTTTAGAGCTGGTGCCAAAAATTAATATGCAATTCAAGTCATCCAAGCTGGTGCTGCTTAGAATTTTAGGATTTACCTGGGGAATCTTGTTAAAATGCAAGTTTAGTAATGATTTAGTAAGTCTGGGGTGGGGCTTAAGATTTTTGAATTTCCAGTACATTCCTAGCGTTGCTGGTCCATGGAAAACACCTCTCAGAACAGAAAGAAGAAAGGGAGGGAGGGAGAGAAACTGAGGCCCAAGAAGTTAGGTGGCTTTCCTTAAGCTAGTTAATGGCAGAGTTGGGACTTCAGCCCAGGGTTCTGGCTCCAACCCAAATCTCTCTGAACCCTCAAGCAAGTCCAAGGATTTAAAAACATACCTATATTTTCAAAGACTACTGGCAGGAATGCAGTTCCCTGATTGCAAAGGGATCCAGTGGTGCCCCTGCTCCTGCTGGTCACTGCCAGGTACACTTGGTTGTCTCTGGGCCTGTCCATTACAGGAGCAGGTTCCAACCTTTTTGGCACTAGGGACCATTTTCATGGAAGACCATTTTCCCATGGACTTGGGGCAAGGGGCATTAGACTATCGTATGAGCATGCATCTGAGAACCTTGCATGCCCAGTAGCATTCATACTCTGAGACTCTCATGCCACTCCTGACATGTCAGGAGGTGGAGCTCAGGCATGATGTGAGTGATGGAAGCAGGGAGCCTCCCTTGCTCACCTGTCACTCGTCTGCTGTGCTGCCAGCATCCTAGCAGCCCACTGGCCATGACCAGTCCTCAGTCTGCAGCATTGCAGGACACAACAGTTCTTGTACTGAGAGACCAAAGTGGTTCCTCCAGAATCCCCAAACGTCTTTCTAGCACAGACATACAGGTGTGGAATCTTCACTTTTTCTGCCTCATGGCAAGAATGTGCTGCTATCATGGGTTTGCCAAGCTCCCTCTGGCCGCTCTGGGGCTGCCATCACGGTACTTGTTATATGAGTGTCAGCTGATTCGTGCAGCTGCCGCCCTTCCCCAACCTTCCCTGTTCTTTTCTTCCTGACACAGAAGATGAAATGTAGACTTGCTGAAAACTTTTATGAGTCTGTCTGTCCCACCTTTCACCCAGCAGAAATTCCTTTCTGAGAGACGATCATCTGCTTGTACTTGTGCAAACAACAGGAAGCTCAATACTTGCAAAGAGCTTTTTATGCTCCAAGGCAGCTTTCTCCATGGAGAAGGACTTTTTCCTGAGCTGGGGTCTTACTTTCTGGAAACTGTCACCAACAAAGGCCACAAAGACTAGTAACTGCCATCAGTGCCTTCCAGGTAAAGGGCCCTTGAGTTTATAAAGTGACATTTTAAAAACTGTGACAGATGTTGTGCTAGACATGTCCATGTCACCTCATATAATAAGCACACCCTGATGTAAACAGTATCAGTTCCCATTTTACCAATATGGAAACGGAGGCTGGGGGGGTTTTAAGGGACTTGCTCAAAGACAGAGGGCCAGTAAGCTTACAGAAGCCATGTTCCGACTGGACGTAGTGGCTCTTGCTAATAATCCCAGTAGTCTGAGAGGCCAAGGTGGGAGGATCCCTTGAGCTCAGGAGTTTGAGACCAGCCTGAGCAAAAGTGAGACCCCATCTCTACTAAAAATAGAACAACTAGCTAGCATTGTGGCGGGTGCCTGTAGTCCCAGCTACTTGGGAGGCTGAGGCAAGAAGATCACCTGAGCCCAAGAGTCTGTGTTTGCTGTGAACTGTGATGACACCACTACACACTATCTGGGATGACAGAGTGACTCTGTCTAAAAGAACACGTACATAAATAAAAGTTATGTCTTATCCACAGCACCACAGCCGCAAGTTCGCTTGCCACCCAAAAGACCTTTAAATAGGCAGAGGAAGTCCCTTCCCGTGTGTCTTCCATTCTGGCCTGCTCTCTTTTACAAACCAAGCTCTGCTGTTTCCTTTAACCTTCTCCCTCAGTTATCATAACAGTAATAGTGCTAAGCCTGCTGAGTTGAAGTCGAGCTAGATCCCAGGCACCCAGTATGCAGACTGAGTTCATCTCCAGAACAACCCACAAGTAACTCCATTTTATAGACAAGCAAACCAGTGAGATTCAGAGAAGTAATTTGTGCAATGCCACCCAATTAGCAAATGTTAGAAAGCTAGGATGGAGCTTGGGTCTCTTGAACTGTGAAAATGAGAAAAATGCTAGGGTGAAGGGGTAGAATGAATACAGGGGAATCCACATGAGAAACCAGGCATGCTGAGACATTTAAAATGAGGGCTCTTTGGGGGCGCCTAATCTAGGCAGCAGAGTAGGGCCTGAGTTATCAAAGCCATTGCCCTGTGGAGGTCATTTGACACAATTTTTAAGTATACTTTAAAAAAAAAAAATCTTTATTGGGGCTCTGCCTATAGCTCAGTGGTTAAGGCACTAGCCACATGCTCTGGGGCTGGTGGGTTCAAACCCAGCCAGGGCCTGCTAAACAACAATGACAACAATAATAAAAAAAAAAAATAGCCAGGCATTGGAGTGGGCACCTTTAGTCCCAACTACTTAGAAGGCTGAAGCAAGAGAATCGCTTAAGCCCAAGAGTTTGAGGTTACTGTGAGCTGTGACACCACAGCACTCTACAGAGGACAACAAAGTGAGACTCTGTCTCTAAAAAAAAAAGACCTTTATTGGGATATAATTAACATACAATAAACTACATGTACTTACAGTGTATTATTTGTTAAGATTTGGTAGCAGGGCTCAGTGCCTGTGGCTCAAGTGGCTAAAGCACCAGCCACATACACCTAAGGTGGCGAGTTCAAAT